GAAAGTGATGACCGCACCGAGGAACTCCTACATGACGTGCAGAATCAGCATTGGGACGCCATCCTGATCTGCGAAACTTGGAGGACAGAGCAAAAGGAATTGTGGTTTACGGGCGAGGGGCGCACTTCCGCAGGCTCTGGAAATGACCGGCGGTGCCGCGGCGTCGCAATCCTCGTGCGCAAACGCTGGAAGTCTTACATTTCAGAGTTCCAGGCCGTCAATGCGATGTTCGCTGCAATGATCATCAAAAAGGGGCGCATCCGAATACAGCTTGTCTCAGCATATTGTCCGGGATTGGCGCCGTGCGCAAGAAGTCCCGCACGCGCAACATATGGGCCATTCTTGCTGCAGACTTCAACGCCCAGTTTGGCGCGCAACCGCGGTCGGAGCAGGCGTCCGCAGGCACATCTCGAACAGTTAACGATCTTCCGTCTCGATTTGCAGGCGCCCATGGATATGGCGACGACTTTCCAGAGGTCAACGGCTGTTGCATTGGGCCGCGCCCGAGAGGCTCGCGATCCCGATCGCGTTCTTCCGCAAACCGCCAGACATGCAGATTGCGCGCGCCGCGACCGCGGGGAACCCGCGACAGTGCGATTTTGCACATGTGGATCGAAGCTTGCCCCCTCTGCGCCTCGACGCCGAAACGTCGAACATCGTTGATTTCAACTCGGGCCGCAGAGCCGCCGAGCTCCGCAGTCGCTTCCCCGCGCGAGCAGCATCGAACGCCGGGCTCTCTCCGAGGAGAATTTATTTCTTCAAGCGCCGCTTCCAGCAGCCAGTGCTGGGCGAACGTCAACTTCGACAGGTGCCAGTGCTACTTGGGCCTCCAACTTCAGACCGGGGAGATGCCGACAGACCCGCAGGAGCTGAGCGCCATCATCCAGCAGAGCATGTGCACCTCTGCAGCCGACGGCGCGAGCGCCGAGGCGACGCCGTCACGCGCGGACGCAACCACTGCGAGCGACCCTCAGCACCAACGTCACGACGACATCATTGCCACCTTGTCAAACGACGCCAAGCCACGCCCGCCGCGGACACCATCGCCCGACGAGCGATCAGCAAAGACATCCAGCATGACATACGACGGCGCAAGCGCGCCAGCCAGAGGGGTCGCATACAGCGCACTCTGGAGCAGTACAAGGGCCTGAAGCGCATTATTTCCGTCAAATCCCGGAGAAAGAATGCGCTCATTCCTGGCATGATGGGAGGCGACGGTGTCAAACAGACAACCAGGCAAGGGATCGCGGACACATTCGCAGTTTTTTACGCCGAGTTGCGCGCCTCTTCCATCGCGGGGGATCGACCAGCAGACGCAACGCGCACGCCGAAGCAGATCCCACCTTTCGCTGGAGAAGAGATCAAAGCAGCAATGTCATGACTCAAAGGGCGGCAATTCACCCGACACCAACGGGATTCGGGCTGACGTGCTCCAACAACCAGGCCGAGAACTTCAACGCGCTCTATTGCAACTGTGCAACGCAGTCATCATGGTAGACGTTCCCACGCCAGCCAGCTGGAGAAGGACCGTCATCGCAGTAATTCTCAAAGTCGGGAGATTTAGCACGTCCCCAGAATTATCGCCCGATCTGCCCCATGCCAATACTATGCAAGCTTTCCAGCAGACTACTGCGCAACAGACTACAACCACCCTTGGACCGACGACAACCCGACGACCAAGATGGTTTCCGACCTGGGGCCGGGGCACGCGTGATCATCTCTTTGTAACGTTCTACGAGAAAGACCTGCCGAATGGAATCGGCATCTATGGATAGCCGCCATAGATATTAAGCAAGCTTTCGACGCTGTTTAACACGACAGCTTGTGGGCATTGTAGGGGCGCTCCGCCGGGTGTCGTGGACTTTCTCGGACGCCTGCATCGTGGCCAGACAGCCGCGGTGCGCGCCGACACCGCCAGCAGACCCTTCGACCTACGTCGCGGCGCAAAACGAGGAGATCCGCTGGGGCCATTACTTTTCATCGCCCTGCTTCTGCATTTCCTAGCACCGCTGGTCCCAGACTGGCAGAGAAATCGCCAGGGCGCTCTAGTGGGCCACGCCGGCGATTCGACACTCGCGAACCTCCGGCTCGCAGACGACATTTTGCAGACCAGCCAAACACTACACAATGTGAAAAGACTGCTTTTCCGATTTGATCACATCTACCGAGCCGCATGGGATGGAGCTACGCCCAAGCAACACCAAAATCATGACCAACCAGCTTCGCAACCGTGACCGGACGGCTACAGCAACAGGGATGGACATCGAAATCTTGCCGCGAACCAGCACCATCAAGCATTTAGGCCAGATGGTCATCTTCCACGACGCCGCCGCGACCGAAGTCAAGCACCGGATTCAAGCTGCGCGGGCGTGTTTTAGCGGCCACCGACAAGAATTCACCAGCAAACGCTACCCATTGAGACATTGAATGCGACTTTACAAGGGCGCAGTCATCCCTACTACGACGTACGGCGCAGAAGCCTGGACTCTGACAGAGCCCCTCAAGCAGCAGCTACGACGAACGCAACGACGCATGATCAGACGAATCGTAGGGGCACCGAGGAGACGCACAACTGCACCGACGCCGCACCACGATCCAGCAGTAGCCCAAAACAACACCCACCACAACAGTATGGGATCCACCAATCCACGCGACTCCAACGATTCCACCGACCCCGACGTACGCAGCGACCTTCCCAAACCAATCAATCTGCAAGACGCAGGCAACGACGACGAGGACACGCAGCCTAGCAGCAGGGGGGGGTGGCGACCTGGAGCTGCGGTCCGACTTCATCCGCAGAAGCACACGGAGGGCGGAGTCGCTCATGCTCATGCACGATATACCAGACGCATCGTCTGTACATCGTAGACTGGTATGGCGATGGGCGAACACGGTGTCTCACCATCCCACGACTCGCTGGACCCGGAGAGTGCTGGAATGGAACCCGAATCTCAATGCGCGCCAGCGCGGACGACGGCAGCAGAGGGGACAGCCAAGGCGGTGGGGCGACGATATCCGCAGCTTCCTGCGCAGTCTGGACAGCGAGGCCGTAGAGGGACAGAACAGGGCAGCCACCCAACCACGACAATACGAGCATGACAACGCGAACGACCTACGATGGACCCGGGCCGCTTGCTGCTCCTTGTGAGCCGGCATGCGTTTCACAAGCTGGAATATTTTGGTGATCTTCTTTGTCGAGGCCACGGCCTCCACGCCATGCCCTAATGGGCACGGGCGGGCTCCCCGGTGGAGCGCGCGCGGCTCCGGCGTTCGCTTCGCTTGGTAAACGCAGGTGGGAATTTCGTGAAAACGTTCGCCTTCCTTGGTCTAGGTGTTGTGCATATATAATATCATTCCTCCTCGGCGTCTTCACGCGCGGTTGATGCCGTTGGTCGCTTGGGCCGCCCTGGCGTTCACTTTGCGTCGTTGCCAATTTCCCCCGAGCCACGGTTTCATGCGTGGGCTCCCGTCTCCCAGGTTGGGTTGTGCGTTTTCCCGAGCTTGTTCGGTGCGTTTTTCTGTTTTGTTCCAATGTTACGTTGGCGCTTCAACAGAAAAGCAGTTCAATGGACGTTTGCGCGGGCGAAGGAGGAATGAGCATTCACCCAAAACCAGAAAGGATGAGGGAGGGGGGGGGGGGTAAAGTGAAAGGGCGGGCCAGAAGGGGGGGGCGGTGGGGGGCACCGGGGGCGGGGTGAGGCGACTCCTGTATGCAGGATGCGAACATCATTTGGTGTTATCGGGTTCATGCGACGACTCGTTGGGTCCTGAGACTTGTGAAATAACGGTTCAGGATGAAGATCTGGTCCAGGGGTCTGCGGGGGGGCTTTTAGAGTTCCACGACATCCCCATCAAGGCCCGTGTTTTTCATGTTGCGACAACGGTGGTCTTGCGCGGCATGCGCTGATCCTTGTAGGGATACCCGTGCTGGACGTCCACGTCGAGGAGCGAGCCTCGACGATCGAAATTTGGGCACTGCCCGCCTCCCTCCTCTTCTTTATCCCCCAGAGCCACTCCTGGATGACATAATGTTATGTAATGTGGTATAAAAGTACGAAATGATATGTTATCGTGCGTTATGACATGCTGTGGGGTGAAGTTGTTGGTGATTGTACGTTTGTTGTGATATACGATGTTATGACATGTTACGGTATCTTGCCATGATGGGGATGATTTTGATGATGATGCTGATGACGAGGATGATGATGTTGGCGGAACATGTTCGGACGATGTCTCAGCACTCCCCACGGAGAGCCGCCAGGGAGTACTGCACGCCTCCGTTCGCGCCGAAATGGCGGGGATGTTTCGGACGGGGTGCCTGAGTCTAAGATGTCCCGAGCGGGGTGCGGGTTTCAGCGTTCCCACTGGGGCCGCCAGGGGGCATTGCATTTCCCCGTTCTTTCCAAAATGGCGGGGATGTCTCGAGCGGGGTGCTGTGGCGGGGATGTCTCGAGCGGGGTGCTGTTTTGGTTCCCGACATCCTCCGCTGTCGGAACAGATTTGAGGGATGTCTCGGGCGAGGCGGTGGTTCTCGCACCCCGTGGGGCTCAGATTGCGAAGATGTGTCGAACGGTTTGTTCATTTTGCTGGCCAGACTCGTGGGCGCGGCTCTTCCCCAGGATGCCACAGGAGGCGCCAGCGGGTTCCAGGAAACCCCCGGAGGCCACAGGAGGCCACAAGAGGCCCCAAGAGGCCCAAGAGGCCCCAGGATTCCCCAGGAAGCACCAGGAGGCCCCAAAAGGCGACAGGAGGCCACAGGAGGCCGCAGGAAACGCCAGGAGGCCCCGGAAGGCCCCAGGACCCCTCACGAGATTCCAGGAGCAGGAGGCCCCAGAAGGCCACAGGACTGGCTCAAATCTGATATATATATATATATATATATATATATTATATATATATATATATATATATATATATATATGCGTTGTGCTTGCACATTAATGATCTCTTGCTGCGTTCAGTGCCGTATGTTGTACTTGTGCTCAAGTTTTTTCCAGGAGTGGTTTTCCCTGATGGGGGCGCAGTCCGCCCTCATCGAGACCTTCCAGTCTGCAGGGATCCGTGCTCTCGAGCTGCTGGCGCTGCGCCAGTCCCTGATCTCGGCGGTGCCCCAGTGCCCCGCGGTCTCGCTGGCGTGCCCGCCCGCGAACGTCTCTTGCCCCGTCCAGGTCTGCCCAGCGCTGGCCTGCCCGACCCCAGCGTGCCCCGTGCCGCTGGTGGATCTCTCCTGCCCGCCTGCAGGAGCGGAGCTCGTCCCTGACGGGCTCGACATCCTCTCGGCCTGCTGGGGATACCTGGCAGGAGCCTCTGCGGGGCTCGGGCTGGGCGGCGCACTCTGGCGGCGGGGCGGCCGCGTCGACGCCGAGGCGACAGGGGTCGGAGATCGAGCGCGAGAGCAGCTGCAGCTGATCAGGAGGCGCAATGGCGAGAGTAGGTGACTACGTGCTCTTCCAGTATGACCTGCCTGGAGCGCCGGTGTATCATGAAAGGCTCGTGACAGGGGTCTCGATCGGGGATCCAGGTCTTGTCAGCACGTACTCGCCAGATGGGGACCACTACGCCGAGTACACGACGTCCGACGACCTCAGAGATGTGCAGTGGTCGGGAGCGCAGGGCGCCACCCCCCCTGGGGTCAACCCCGCCCACGTCTACCGTTTCCGCCAGGTGCCAACGGCGGCCGAGGTCCAGCAGCTGATCCGCGAGGGCTCGCTCCTGATCGGGGGGGTGGCGCCGCCTGCTGCCGCTGTTCCGGCCGCCGCAGCGGCGCCCGTGGCGGCTCCCCCCGCGGCGGCCGCACCGCAGGGGGCCATCGTGCCTCGAGGCGCTGGCGTGGTGGGAGGGGTCCCCCGCGCTGGGGCCGCGGCCGCCCCCGCAGTGGCTGGCACAGTTTGGCTGGCTATTGAGGACTTCCAGGGGGTGCGGCGCTGCGAGCAGATGCCTGATCCTCTCCCTCAGGGTGCCGTCGTACACGGGGAGCTGGCGCTGGTGCCTCATGGAGGGGGCTTCGTCGGAGCGCGCCAGGTGGCCCTAGCCGACGTGGATGCCTTCGTCGTGGACGACCTGCGCGTGCTGCCTGTGCGTTTCAACCAGCAGGGGGCGCGCCGTCGCCCATACAGCGAGGCCGTGGACATGCAGATCGTGGATGAGCCTGAGGGAGGCATCATGCTGCAGGGCCCTCGCACTACGGATTGGGTGCTGAGGTCGTATCGGGATGCCGGGCTCACGCCAGTCACTCACCACTCGAACTGGCTGAGGTCGGCTCGCATCCCTGATGGAGATCGTTCAGTTCACGAACACGAGGTGCCGTGCCATGTGCTGGAGGCAATCGTGACCGTGGACCAGCTCAACGCCCCTGCGCTCCAGAGCGCCGAGCTTGTCGTGCGCAGGATCCAGGTCATCGAGGATGCTCACTCCGCCTCGCCCTCGAACCCAGACTACTCCGCGGCCGATGAGTTCATGGGCTGGGCCACGCATCGCCAGGGCGCCGCCGTCGCGCCCGACCTGCAGCGCCACGTGGCCGCGGGCATGCGCGACAGGGCAGCGATTCTCAAAGAGGCTCGCAAGGCGAAGGAGGAGCAGAAGCTGCGCCGCGGCAAGGGGGGCAACAGGACCGACGCCAGCGGTGCTGGCGGGCAGGGATCATGACGGCTCCCAGTCGCGGGGGCTGGCCGGCCCGCGACGTGCACAAGGCCTGTGGTAGTGACAGGGGACGCCCTCCTGGGCTGAGTGCAGCGGACGATCGCCAGCGTGATCTGTTCCCGCTGCCCTCCATTCAGCCGACTCCGCCTACTTCTGCGCCAGCGTCTACGTCGACGAGGCGAAGGCTGGCACATAGGCGGCAGACGGAGCAGTGTGCCAATGATGTCATTGCGGGTCTCAACGCTCTCCATTCTCCGTGCGAGCAGCGTGGGCCCGTCACGGCGGCTCAGCGGCTTGCTACCGCCACCATTTTGAACGAGGTCAAGATGGCCCCGAAGTCTGACACTCACTTTTCTCGCCGTGGAGCCGCGAAGGAGCTCCTGGCCTCCAGCCTGTCCTACACCGCGGGCGAGGCACCGAGTCCCGTGGTAAGGTACGTCAGATCCCGAGTCGACATCCCAGAAGTGGGTGCGGTCACACCTCCTGTTGAGTCGGTGCTCGACGGGATCGGGAGGAGCTACGTGCTGGACTACGAGCAAGCCATGATGAAGACTCCTGACGAGTGGTCCCGCGTCTTGGATAGCGAGCCGCCCGTCACCCCCTACATGGATGAAGTTTTGAAGCGTGACCCAGTGGCATACCGCACTTTCATCGGCGACCTGGTGAAGGCTAACATGCTGGGTTTCACGCACCGCCCGAAGGATTTAGTCACCCCCTTTTTCGTGGCCAAGAAGAGTGGAGCGCAGCGTCTAGTGTGGGACGCTAGAGTGCCAAATCGACGTTTTCGCGACCCGCCGCCGCTGGCCATGGGGACATCGGCGGCGTACGGTCGCCTACAGCTACCTGATGATCGTAAGGAGGACGGCAGCTTCAACACCAAGCTTTTCTGCGCCCAGGCTGACGTGCGCAACTACTTCTACGCTCTCGGCCTGAGGGAGGAGCTGGGACTGTTCTTCTCGCTGCCTCCGGTGTCGCATCATCGGCACCGGCCCTGTCAGATGCAATGTTTTGATGCACCAGATCTGCGACGCCTGGAGGAAGCATGGCGTGCAGATTCACGAGGTGGTCGAGGCCACTGACGTCTTCACCAGCCTCGGCCGTCTGATCGACGGCGCGTCTGGGCGAGTTTTCTCACGGCCCGAGCGCTCCGAGCGCCTCCGCCAAGCTTCACTGTGGCTAGAGCAGCGCCCTAGAGTCACGGGGGGGGAGGTGGAGAGGTACGTGGGTCACCTCATTGATCATCTGATGCTGAAGAGGGAGCTGCTCTCGATCCTCAGGAGTTTGTATGATTTCGTCAGAGAGTGCTATCACGTGCGAGCCCGTCTCTGGCCCTCGGCTGCCCGCGAAGTCGAGCAGTGCCGACGCCTGCTGCCGCTGATGTCTGCCAACCTTCGGCTTCAGTGGTCGCCGACGGTCTTCGCTTACGACGCGTGCTTGACGGGTATGGCCACGTGTCAGACAACACTGTCATCAGATCTTGTCAAGCGCATCGGGTCAGTCAGTGAGAGATGGAGATATCGCATGCCTTCGGCTATCTCGGCACGCCGTTCTGCTCTGGGAGTCCGTTCTGGAGGCTATGAGGCCTCGGAGGGGCCGTTCGACGTCTTCAGCGACATCGAGACCGCCAAGGCCCCCAAGAGCACCAGCATGGACCTCATCAAGGACCCCTGGGAGCTCAACCCGCAGTTCACAGAGGTGCCCGTACAGGCTCTGCAGGGCCCCCAGTGGAAGCAGGTGGTCTCGGCCAGGGTTCACGTCAAGGAGCCCATCACTATTATCGAGGGGAGGGCTTCGAACATGACATCTCGTCATATCACGAGGGCCCAGGCCTCCTTTGGTCTCCGACATCTACGTTTTGGGGACAACCTCGGCACAGTGCTCGCGCTCGGACGTGGGCGATGCTCCTCCTATCCCCTTCTGCTGTGCTGCCGCAGAGAGGCTGCCTACTCCGTCGCCACTGCGTCGCGGTTCGAGCATCGGTGGATACCTTCGGAGCTCAACCCCTCCGATGAGGGGTCGAGGCGCTGGGATGCCAAGTCGGGAGGTGCCCCGCCTGCCCCGCGCGGCGTCCGTCAAGCGCCCAGCTGCCAGCCCCAAGATCGCGCAGAAGAGCTTTTTGAAGGGCAGGCCGTTTGTTGGGGCGACGAAGGAGGAGAGGATTGCTCACCGTCTGCGGGCCTCTGGGCCGTTCACGATGGTGGGGGAGGACGAGAGGGGCTTCCTGGAGTGGAACGCGGTGGCGCCCGAGACCCAGGCATGCTACAAGGGCGCCCTCGACGACTTCCAGACGTTCGTGGACCTTTTCGAGCTGCCGCTGCACGCCGCGGCTCAGGTCGACCTGGCGCTGATGAACTACGCCGACTACGCCTGGAGCATCGGGCTCGAGAGAGCCGCCGTCCTGAAAACATATGCCGCGTACATCTCGGCGCACCCCGACTTTTCCCGAAAGGGGTCGCTCCGCCTGCCGCGTTTCTGTCGGGCCCTCCAGGGTTGGAGGCGCCTGGGCCCAGGCCAGACGCGCCCGCCCATGCCCTGGCAAGTGGTCGCGCTGGTCGCTCTGGCGATGGCCACGCAGCTGGGGTCCCCGCGCGCGGCGCTCATGGTGGTGACGATGTTCTGGGTGTACCTCAGGCCCTCCGAGGCCGTCGGCCTGCGCGAGCAGGACCTCTTCCTCCCCTCGGGCTCGCGCACGGACTGCGGCTTCAACCTGCGCCCCAGCGCGAGGGGCGAGCGCAGCAACGCCAGCTTGTCGGACGAGAGCCTGCTCCTCGATTCGGTCGATGTGCCCTGGCTGGGCCCGCTGCTGGCGCGCGCGAGGTCGGGGGGCCCGCAGGCGCCGCTGTTCCGTCTCACCGCCGCGCAGCTGGGCGTCATGTGGCGTCAGGCGCTGGAGCTGGCCGAGGTGCCCGCCAAGTGCGTGCCCTACCAGCTCCGCCACGGTGGCCCGTCGCACGATCGCCTCAAGAGGTATCGTTCCATGGGCGAGATCAAGAGGCGCGGGCGGTGGGCCAGCGACTACACGATGAAACGCTACGAGGCCCACGCGCTGGTGCAGCAGGAGCCGGCGGCACTCCCAGTCGACGTCCGCCGCAGGGCCGAGGCGGCGCCCGCGAAGCTGCACGCCGAGCTCGAGAGGCTCCTGGCGCGGCCCCAGAGGCCGCGGACGGCCACGCCGTCGGCGCGGCTGCAGGCGGCACCTGTGCCCAGCATGCGCCGCCCCGCACCTTCTGCCAAGGTGCCGCGGCCCGCGCCCGTGCCAGGCCGTTCGTCGAGCTCATGCGCGGCTCCGCCGCCTTGGCCAAGGCCGTCCACGCCGCCGGCTGGGCTTCGGAAGGCTGGGGCTATGCTGGCGACCCGCGAGCCGACCTTCTTGATGAGTCCCTCGTCGACAGTCTGGTTTTGAGGATCTCACGGAAGGAAGTCGCGGGGGTGCATGTCGGCCTGGACTGCAAAACGTGGAGCCGGGCAAGGAAGAATGATGGACAGGGTCCGCCGCCGCTCAGGGACGATGCGAATTTGCACGGCCTCCCTCTGCTGGCGGCGGCAGACGCTGAGAAGGTGAGGATCGCCAATCGTCTGCTCGCTAATGTTCTGCGCCTGCTGGCGGCGGCCGTCGAGGCGGGAGTCCCCTTCTCTCTCGAGAACCCTCGCACGTCTCGCCTCTGGCTGGTCCCAAAGCTGCTGGACATGGCCCGCGACGCTCACGCCGAGTGGGCTTCTGTTGATTATTGCCAGTATCAGGTCCCTTGGAAAAAGGCGACTACCTTTTTGCTTTTCAATTGGCTGCCAGCGCAGCCTTCCCTCCGCCTGTGTTCAGGCTGTCAAAAAAGGTGTAGTGCAACAGGTAAGGCACACATAACGCTGAAGGGTAAAGACCCGCTCGGTGTGTTCTGGACTTCAAGGGCGTGCCCTTGCCCCGCGGCGCTCTGCAAAGATCTAGCAGCGCTGGTGGTGGCCAAAGCCAAGACACTGGATGGCAGTGGGTAGGGGCTCAGAGTCTTGAATACCGCTCGCTCAGTCCGCTCAGGTCAGCGCCATCGCGCTGCCCTGTCACCGCCTGCCGCTCGTTCTCTTGATTTGCTTCGAAGCAGCGGAGCATGCCGAAGGAAAAGTTGATCTTGGCACGGGTAGCAGCCTAAGCTCATGCGTTGTGCTTGCACATTAATGATCTCTTGCTGCGTTCAGTGCCGTATGTTGTACTTGTGCTCAAGTTTTTTTCCAGGACCCGCCTGCCGTCCCCATCTTCCACCTGCCTGGGCGTCACTTCGCCCCACAGGGGGCTCAGAGTCTTGAGTGCCGCTCGCTCAGTCCGTTCAGGTCAGCGCCATCGTGCTGCCCTGTCACCGCCTGCCGCTCGTTCTCTTGATTTGCTTCGAAGCAGCGGAGCATGCCGAAGGAAAAGTTAATCTTGGCACGGGTAGCAGCCTAAGCTCATACATATATATATATATACAAGTAAGAAAAATGTCCTGCAGAATGGGCCTCCCCTGGAACACGAGACTTGGGTGTTTCATGTATGTTGTGATTGATTGTCCCTCTTCCGCGTATCAGTTCTTGAATGTTACACGTATGTTCCAAAAGATTGGGCCCCCCTTCTGGGGCACGAGTCCTTGGTGTTTTACGCAGGCGTGTTCCTGTAGATTGCCTGTTTCCTGCAGTTCCAATCCGAAGTATTTTATACATATTCCTATTGATCGGGCCTCTTCTGGGCCACGGGTCTTCTCCAGGAGGGCCCAGGAGGCCCCCTGAGGCTCCTAGAGGCCCCAGGATACCACGCGAGGCCCCAGGAGGCCTCAGAAGGCCACAGGAAGCCCCAAGAGGCCCACGAGGCCCCAAGAGGTTCCGGGAGGCCCCAAGAGGTTCCAACGGCTTCCTCGGTGTCCTCTGCATCTGCGTGGTCGCCACAAAGGGTCAGCGGGGGTCCGAGGGAGGCCGCCGGAGGACTCGCACGCAGGCCCCTGCCCGCGGACCACCCAGGAACGTCGCCAGAAATGGAAATCCCAAACCTCATTATTTTTGTTCTGCACAGGGTAAGATTATGTTGTGCTTTAAGCGTTTTAGGGCGGAAATTGTACCAGATGTCTGGCTGAGTTTTTGGATAAGTTGCTTGTTTTTGGGGGGCTGACCTGCCGCGGCCTCCAGGGGCAAGTGTTTGGAGGAAGCCCGCCCCCCCTCCCCCCCCCCAGTGGAGGTTTTTGGATGAAATCCGGGAGCCCCCGGGGGAAGTTTTTCGGCGAAAGCCGGGGCGCTCCCAGGTGCATTTTTTGGATGCCCCCTGGTGCGTGCGAGTGGTCCTCCTTCCGTGGTTACTTCTGACCAGATTGCAAGTGCTGCTGCTGCTTCTCCCCCTCCCCTGCCTGAAACGAGGGGGGCCTGACACGTCCCGAACGGCCGCCAGAGGCCCGACCTCCTGGCCCGAGAGTCGCCCCGAGGGGGCGGAGGAGCGAGGATGGTTTGCGCCTCGAAGGGCTTTCGGGGGGGAGTGGGCCGACCGAGGTCCTCGGAGGTCTCGGGGGGTCTCCGGGGGGCCCCAGGGGTCCGCGGAGGCCCTCGGAGCCCCCTGGGGGCCCAGGAGGTGCCACGCCGTCCACAGACATCCAAAGGCCGCGGTCCTCGAACCTCGAGCCTGGATGTTCGATCCTCGAACCTCGATCGTCCATGCGCACGCGTATTCAAGTTTACGCATTCACAGACCCATGCGTATTCAGACTCTCTCATACCTAGAGTCACTGACACTCACACTCAACCGTGACGGTGTTCATTTACTTTCAAACTCGCTTACACTCGTCGTCCACCCCGATTCGCTCTCACACCCAGATGCTCGCAGACAGAGTTCTTCAGCGAGAAACGACAGGAGTATGAGATAAACATATGCGAGCTCCACGCAGTAAATAATGTGAGGCTACTTCGGGGACCTCCGAGCTCCTGGAACCCCGCGCGGATTCTACTGAGTAGCGGGGAAGAGGCGAAAATTGGGGGCGGGGCGGGAGGGGCGAAGAGCGGCGACAGTTGGCGACGACGGACGACGAGCGGACGTCGGACTTCGACGACGATGCCGACGCCGACGACGACGACGACGACGGAGACGACGACGTCGCCGACGTCGACGACGACCGCGACGGCGGCGGCGACGCTGACGACGACGGCGCCGACGTCGATGACGACCGCGGCGACCGCGGCCGCCGCGATCCTGAGGACCAACTCAGCGCACATTGCACTTTCACATGGGGTGCGGGTTTTTCTCAGGCAGCCTGGGAGAGCCTTGGGGCTCCGGGGGCCCCGCGCGACTTGTGTTAATCAGCGAAAGGGGGGCGGGGGGAACAGGGAGGGGAAGGGGCAAAGAAGGACGACCACTGACGACGATGGGCGACGGACGACGACGACCACGACGACGACGACAACCACGACGACGACGAAAACGCAGACGACGATGGCGGCGGCGACCACGACGACGGCGACGGCGACCACGACGACGACGACACCGACGACGGAAAACCCCCCTACGACGCACCGTGGGGAAGTGCGTGACGCCGAAGGGCATTGAAATTGTCTTGAACGGAACAGCGGAGGCGGTGCGATCAGAGTGTGTCTCAATGCGCCCGTCGCTGGCACGAACGGGTGGTTTGGCGGGAAGCCCCCCCGCCGTCGCTTCGCGAAGTCCGCCACACCCAGGCGCGAGCCTACGGCTCTTCTGCGAACCCTAGGCGCGACGCGTGGCGTCGCCGCGTTTTGCCGATTGCGGTTCGGCCAGTTTCCACGTTGCGCCACGCCTTGCCCCGCGCACGTCGTCCTCGCAATTCCGCCGCGCGCTTTGGCTCGCAATCGCCGTGCGCCCGCCGCTGGCCAGAGGGGGCGGGGGTGCGTGCGCGGCGTGCCCCCCCCCCCCCCCCGCCCTCGCCTCGCGAGTCCCGTCGGCCCAGGGCCCGCGGGTGCCCGCCATCCCCGTGCGTCGCGCGCACGTCGCCTCGTTTTGCCGTTCTCGCTTCAAGAATGTCCTCGCTGGCGCAGCGGCCCCCCCGCGCGTTTCGTGCGCGCATTTCTGCCCCGCGCATTCGCGCGCGGTGTCCGGCCGCCCGCCGCTGGCCTGGGCGGGTAGTCTGGCGGAGCTTCCTCACTTCCTCCTCGCGATCGCCGTGCGATTCCGCGCCGTCCGCGGAGTCTCTGGATTCCCGCCGCCTCCAGGCGCCGCGCGAGCGTCGCCACGCGTTGCCGTTTTCGGCTTGGCCAGAGGGGGGGGGGATTGCAGAGAGGGCTGTTTCGACTTGCGCCTCTCGGTGGTGGCCAAAATCGGCGGCGGCGCCCGCTGGCAACGTGCCCCGGGGTTCGATCCAGCGCGCCGCCGACGTCGACTCCACCCCGCCGTGCCATGTCGGGAAGGTGGAAGGCGAAGCGGGGGGCCCGATTGCGAAGCAGGATGAGGAGGGCTTCTGGGCGGGAGTGGAGGAGGGAGGGGGGGCCGCAAGGGGCGGCAGAAGCGGGGGGCGAGCCCGTGGCGTCGCGCCGCAACCGATACGCGGCGGATTTGAGTCGCGGCTTTCCAGGCGAAGCGTTCCCCGTACACCGGGAAACCGTTTGTTGGCAGTGGTTCGCGCGATCTTGTAAAAAAATGAATACATTAAAAATTGACGAACCAGTTTTGCGCGCGGGTCAGAGCTGACCCATTCCGGGCGTCTAAACCACCAATCCGGTTAACAGGAAAGGGCTGTGCGCACTGGCAAGCCATGGGTGGGATGTGCAGGGCGTCGTCAGCGACGCGAACAGGCCTACCTTGTTCCCTGCTTTCTCTCGGTTCTCCTTCCGTTCTCCGTTCCCTCCCCCCCCCTCCTCCTCCTCCTCCTCCCGGTCCTTCTCCTCCTTTTCCTCCTCCTCCTCCTTCTCCCCGCCCCTCCCGTCCCAGAAGAGGGGGGTGGGGGCGGAGGCGGAAATGTCCAGGTTGAAATGGGAAACTGGATGGGGAATGACAAGATGGAAGTGGATATGGAGATGGAGATAAAGATGGAGATGGAGACCGAGGATGTGGAGGAGGCAGAGGGGATGGAGAAGAGAGGGAGGGAATGAGAGAGAGGGGCGGAGAGAAGGACCCAGCTAGGGATAGCAGGAAGGGGGATGAGGGAGGAGGAGGAGGAAACGGGGAACGAGGAGGAGGAAGAGGGCGCCAGAGGGTAGAGGATGACGATGATGATGATGATGATGATGATGATGATGATGATGATGATGATGATGATGATGATGATGATGATGATGATGATGATGATGATGATGATGATGATATATAGTGTGTGTATGACACGCTCGTGCGCCACTCGCCGCCGCTTGGCTCTTAGGGGCCCCTTTTGCCTTGGCTTGAAAACGTATCATCAATCACACTGGCAGCGGAGCTGCTACACGATCTTCGGCATCGTACCACTGCGCAGGGCTCGTCCTCTCGCGAGGAAAGCTCCTCACCTTTTTTTTGCACTGGGCATCCGCCCTTACGAGGGGATTGTTTCCTTGCCGCCATGGCGCTGTCTTCCCTTCGCTATCGGTCGAACGCCGACGCGTTGACTCAGTCGGAGACGAAGGGTGGCTCCTACATCTATGATGGCACCGTGAACAACTTTCACGAATGGGAGTTCCGCACAGAGATGCGTATGAGTGCTGCTTTGTCTGCTGTAGATGCAGAGACAGGAGAACCCCAGGCACATGTTGTCACCGCAGCCGTCAACAAAGTTGTAGAAGGCCTCAGAGGCGACGCGTTCGAT